CCCCCGCGCCGCCCGGCGCGCCCCCCGCCGCCGCCGCCATGCCCCCCGGCCCCGAGTACTCGGAGGAGGAGGAGCTGGAGAGCGCCGAGGAGGAGGACGGCGAGCGCAGCGCCCGCGCGCGCGATTCCGACGAGGGTCGGTCCCGGGCGGGGCGGGGACCGGGAGGGAGAAAAATAAGGAAAAACGCTGGGTTTACAGGACCAGTTGCCCTTTTCTCCGTTATGGGGAATATCAGTGCGGTTTAGGGTTTGCAGTTGCAGCCTTTAGGTCTGAGTTCCCCCCTAGAGAAACTTGCTGGAAGAGGAAAAGTAATTATTTCAGAAATAAAAACCTTATAGGTGAAATAAATAGTGGAAAACCAGCAGCGCTGCGTTAGTTTATTTATACTTACTTGAATTGCGGGCTATGCTTATGTTCTTGGGGTAGTCTGTATTGCATATAAATGTTGAAGTACTTCAGTGTGTAGCTGAGATGTTAGTAGCTTTACTCGTTGGCTTGGGAAGCCCTAATGGCACTTGGTAATAGTGGTTTCTTTGAGAAATGCATTTTAGGGTCTTTGGATTGTGTTGCCATCCCACTTTCGTATTTGTAGGCACTAGTGCAGTGTCAGCTGTCTTAAACCAGCAAGAAACTGCCCGGGTATCTTAAGCTGAAGTTTTTCAAACAGGGTGTAAGCTGCATTGTGGCTCTAGAGGGGACAAGTTGCAGGAACGGATGGGATGGTTCAATTCGCTGCTGAATGAGTCTTTCCAGAGTTGTTTTGTGCCTGGAGCTCAACTGCATGTTCTCTTTAAAAGACTTGGTGACTTTGCTTCTGAACACTACTTTAGCCTTGACAAATCCTTCTTTACCTCTTTTAGATACTGAGGATGCTAGTGAGACAGACTTGGCAAAGCATGAGGAAGAGGACTTCGTGGAAATGAAAGAACAGTAAGTAACCTCTTCTAATAAAAGTAGGTCGATACTTTATTTTCTTTGCATAAGGTTTTAGACCTGGGTTAGAGATTTTTTTTTTGAAGTTCTGAACAGCAAAATAGGTGCAAGTTTCTGGGAACAGCAAAATTTTGCTGCAAATTATTCCCTCTGCAGGAAGATTTCTTAAATCAAATGACCTACGAGATTCAAGACAGATGGAAAGCAAGTTATCTGTTAAAATCACATAACAGAAAGCCAGCAGTGCGCAAGAAGGTGGACTTTTTGGAGACTTGAAATAGTTTCTCTTGATATTTAAGTGTATTTGTATCATTTTGTGTTCTTGTTTGCTGGCAGAGATTTTATGTGCAGATCATGAAGATGCAGCTTGTGTTAAACTTCAGATAAGTGAGAAGGGAAGTACAAAATCTATTTCTAGTGTCTTTAGCTTTTCTGATGGGGGTGCTGGTGAAGGTTGTTTATAACTTTAAGTCCTCGGTAAGCCCAGAAAATGTTTTCTGAGTAGGGAACTAATACACAAATATTAGGATTTGTCAAAGTGGCAGAACACTTCTGTTTGAATACCTGGTGCCGTGTTAGATTTCCATGTACAAAAGATAATTCTGCAGTGACTATCCCCGAAATAATTGATTTGGTATCATAAAAGAGGTGGTACAATTTTTAAATTGAGTGATGTTCTTTCAGTTATTTGTTTTCTGGAGTTTTTCTCCAAAGTTCTTAATCCAGTATAAGAAAGCACATAATAACCTAAAATAGTGAACTGTCTTTTGTTTTTCATTTTTTAATGTGTTTTTTGTGCTCCCTATAGGATGTATCAGGACAAGCTGGCATCTCTTAAGAGGCAGTTGCAACAACTGCAGGAAGGTAAATTTTGAAAGGGATAGTTCTTTTTCTAAATAACTTGGCCCTTTTCAAAACTGAGGTCTGATGTGAAAGCAATTGCAGAGTTGCCCCTCAGTCACACTCCCCTCACTGAAAAACGTCAGTCACTTGTGATCATTTTTGCCTGCCTTGCAGACTTGTAGGTAAGTCTGTGTACTCAAATAAGCATTTCTTAAAACGAGTAGCCTCTGTGCTTTCTGGAGTGGGGAGGAAAGGGAATGTCCTTACCAAGGCAGGGAAACTAGAGCTGTGTTTTCCTGATTTTTGAGCTCTTTCAAGTAGTATATGGATATCTGAGAATATAACACAAGGGAAAAATAAAACCTCAATGGGAATCCATCTGTTTTAACTAGGTACTCTACAAGAATATCAGAAAAGGATGAAAAAACTGGACCAGCAGTACAAAGAGAGGATACGAAATGCAGGTAAGCTGAATTTCTGTCTGAGAGGCTGCATGCAGATCACATATTTCCATATTTCACTTTTTCCTTCGCTGAAACCTGAAGAAAAATGTCAATTTTATCCTTTAAAAGTAGTTCCTATTGAAGCCAGGGCTTTTTCTGCTTCTCTGTGTAGCAGACTGCATGAGGATGTGCAAGGCATGACAGTCTGTCTCCATTTTCTTCACTGGCTGTTTAATAAACATCAGTAAACAGTTTTGGTGTGAAGTAGAATGTTAGTGTGAAACAGAACCAGTGAAAGGGCTCAATTTTTGATGGACATCATGCCTTCTCTTCAGTTTCCCACCTAGCTGATGCTTTGGTGCATCTTGTCCTAAAGCTGCCTGCAGACTTTCCCAAAGGTCTGTTTTATGCTGTGGAATAATTGTTTGCTCTGAGACTTGTTCCCAGCAGTGCTGGGGGAGATAAAGGATTTGTTTGAGCAACTCAAGTGAATTCGAACTCTGTTCTTGCTAACAGGAATTTGGATTCTGAGTAAATTTCACACGTTAGAGCTGCATTCTAGTCATATTAGTATATTCTGCTAATATTAAGACTAACCCCAAAATTTGTATTTCTCTTGGCAAGTGCTGCAGCAGCATATTTCTTCCACAGGAGGGCAGGTTGTGATAACTTTCAATTTTATGATTAAAAATCCAACTTCAATTAACAGTATGTTTCTATCTGTTTTTTTGTGTAACATTTCAGCATTAAATTGCAAAATGAGACTAGAGGTAGAGTAAGTATGTGCAGCCTTTAGCTTGCTTTGCCTTATTGAATTATTTTAAATGCTGTGAAAGTAATTTTTTTGCATCTTTCAAGGTAATAAATAAATTTCTTTTATTTCAGAACTTTTCCTCCAGCTGGAAGTAAGTATTCTTAATTTATGAAAATACGTATTGATTCAATGGGAGGGATATAAGCCTAATGTTTCATCAGCTAGTAGTTGTACTTGTTTTCCCCGAAAGAAGTTTTCTTAGTCTGTTTAGTGTTGTGAGAGCTACTGTAAAGTAGAGATTAATATTGATATTACTTCACATTTAATTGTTATTGAATTAGAGTTTTTTTTTAAAAAAAAACCTGTTCGTGGACCACAGTTTGCTGCCTGTGTGATTGAATTGAACATAAAAATGCTTTAAAAATAAAGTATTTTTTGGCAGTGTATTTGGAGATTTTTTTTTTCTTATGATTCTCTTAGTTATTTAACCATCAATATCCTTTATTATTGGCTGTAGTTTTCAGTTAAGAATCTTATCAGGACAGTGCAATTGAAAGAGAAGCTGTTGCAATGTTCTACACTTGGGAACTTGTTCCTTAGCTAAACCCTTTACTTCTGGTTTGCATTAGACTGATCAGGTGGAAAAAAACTATGTCAAGGAAAAGAAGGCTGCTGCAAAGGAGTTCGAAGATAAGAAAATTGAGCTTAAAGAAAATCTGATTGCAGAGTTGGAAGAGAAAAAGAAGATGATTGAGAATGAGAAGCTAACCATGGAATTAACAGGAGGTAAAAAAACAAGACAAGCACTTATCTTTTTATCTCACTTATCTTTCCACAACTTGCTACTGCTTGGAAATAAAAATGTAAAAGTTGTGATGCTAGTTTGTATGGGGCAGTTAGCACGGAAGCTTTAAAACCTTCCACATGCCAGCAGATGTAGAACAAGAACCGTGGTCTTTTTAGTGGGCTGCACAGTTCAGAATAAAATACTCACCTGGATTCTCAACAGGCAAATTAAAATAGTGTCGTGGAGGTAGCAGAGCAGATGAACTTTCTCCTTTACATTTTCTGCTTTCAGACGAGAAGAAGCTTGAGAAGACTCCTTAATTTTGTTGCTTGGTCTCTAATTAGTTACTAGGATTTTTAAACTGTAGCAGTGGGCTTGTGAATTGGTGCATCTGAATAGCTGTCTGCCTGGTTTTACTGACGGAAGATTTTTGCAGTTTCTGTGGGCTGCAGTCACGGAGTTCTTCTTTCATGGAGCATGTTGCAAAACCTGAAATGCGCGTGGCAGTGATGCTGGCCTCTGAGTTAGATTTCAGGCACAAATCCAAATTTATATATTTAGCTTTGTAGCTTTTCATGACAGACAGATGTTTAGGATGCTGCTACAGGGTCGTATTTTGTATGTTAGATTTTACAGAATTACAGCTTACTAACTCATCATGTATATAATGTTTTCCCTTTTTCGGCTGAATTTTAATGGCAATTGGAGCTAATACGTTTTTTTTACCAGCTGTGTCCCTGAATTCTTCTAGTGGCCACCCACTAGATGTTCATATCTTTCATTATGCTAGTGGGAAATATCATCGCATGACCCCCTGTTTCATGTGCAGGGAAAGGGGCTTCTTTGATACTTGTCATCTGGTAATAAAACTATTGAGATGTGCCTCAGCATTGACCTGCCAGTGTTGCCTAAAGTTAAACTGTGTCCCTTTTTTCTCCAGCAATATATGGTAAAGAAGCTGGAAAAAGCAAACAATAAATTGAAATATACTACTTTTTTACTGAGCTGCATTTGTGTCGAGGCTCTGGAAAAGAGGCACTAAGTGAACAAATCTTTCACAAAACCAGTTGGTGCAGGGATGAGCTGTTTCATTGGATGCAACTGTTGTAAAAAGCATTTAAGCATCATTCCCTTCTCCTTTCCAGAGAAGCAGAAATACAGTTTGATTTCTTTAAAATTATTTTGTGAGTGCATGCTGAAGGCTAAGGAATTGGAACCCAGGAAGCTATATAGACTTGACAATTTTTAAAACCTATGGAAGTTCAGCGTGGACTAGGATGCTCTGTGCAGCCCTGTGAGTGCTGTGACTTAACCTGAGTTGTCATGTAATTTACTTTCCGGGGGGAAAGTAATTAGTGTTTTGATCGTGCATGGTCGCTCAAAGTTTCAGCATCTAGAGGGAGACAGAAATGTTCCCTCCAGACCAAGTGCCACCCAGGATGTGTTTCAGGACTTCTTAAAGAGCAAATTCTCAGCACAGTGGAAGAGGTGAAATGGCCCTGGCTTTTAGGATGTGATCTCTTTCTCTTCCCTGCTAACCCAAGGTGCCTTTGTAAGGTATGATCTGTGAGAGTGTGTCCAGGTAGAGTAGAGCAGATTGGTACATGTAGGTATTTGGACAACCTGCGTTTCAGAGAATTAGTGAGGAGGATGTTGCTTCAGGTTTAGACTGGTTCTTTTTGCTTAGTGCATAGCCACAACAATTTATTAACAGTTAGCTATTCCTACAAATGTAATCAGCTGGGTTCTTTTCATTAACTGTAGTTTGAAACTTTTTTAGGTCTGGATTTAAATACTGTTTGCATTTAAAGTAACTCCAGCAGATTTGTGTTAATCTTGAATGCAGTCATTAATTGTATTCCTTTGACAAAGTCCTTCTCCAGCTTGGAGTTAAAAAAAAGAAGTCAGTTGCTCCCTTTATGTGCTTTTTCCTGTTCAAGTATTTTACCAAAGAACTCTGTGAACTTTGCTTTTTAGGCAATGTGTTTAAAAGCAAGTATTCGACATTAGTACGAAAGAAGTTTGTGCAGAGTCCTTGCAGCATCACTGTGCTTTAGTTACCTGCATCGAAAATGCCCCAGAAACAACTGTGCCACTTGAGATGATGAAAGCTGTAGCCGTGGCATCCCAATCCTGTTAGTGACCACTGGGTTGTGTGAAAGGGAACTTGTCTTCAGTGTCAGCTGTTCCAGCTTCGATGCTGGAAGCTATCATGAAGAGATTCAATTTTCTGTGTAAAAGAAGAAAAAATATTTTCCTTGTGCCTTGTATGAAAAGCTGCTGCTGCTGCTTACTCTTCTCCCTCCGTCTTATCAGCTCTCCAACTTCATTACTTTACAGATTCTATGGAAGTGAAACCTATCATGACGAGGAAACTGCGGCGGCGACCAAATGATCCAGTTCCTATTCCAGATAAGAGGAGGAAACCTGCCCCTGATATCCTTTTACAGAGCCCCTGCAGGGCTGCTGGGCTGGGAGCCAGCGTGCTGTGTGGAAGGCAAAGTGCATCAGTGTTGTGTTTGTACAGGAAATGAAATGAAATGAGGTGCTAGAATCAGATTTTAATCTAGGAAATGCTGCTGTGAAATATGTCATGTATAATATGTGATAAAACAGTACAGTACAACCAGCCTTCAAAAACCTCTCGGTAAGAGACTGCGTAACTCCGGCAGTTTGAAATCATGTTTGTTTGTTTTGGGCCAGAATTGAAGTTGAATTCTTTTAGCAATATTTTTTCAGTAAGGAAAAACCTTAGGAGACCATTATTATATAGGCTGAGTAATTGATTCCGTAGATTAAAAATGGTATTTTAGTAAGCTGAAGTTTTTCTCCTTTCACGATGTGACAGAGTGCCAGAAAGATCATATCTGTTACATCAAACTATTTTTTTTCCTTTTTTGCTGAAGGTTACAGATTTTTAATCCAAAGAGATGGATAGCAAAAGCAATGAATGCTAAATTTGTTCTTTGAATACAGAACAAATGGAAATCCTTGATTTTATATAGCAGGAGAAAAAGTGAAAAAAGATGCATATTTAATCCTTCTCTCCTGTTTTGTTGCTTGTTTCTTGCAATTAAAATCTTACCTAGTTTTTGAAAATATCTTGGCCTCTCTGCAGTGATAGGCACTTTTTCTGTTTGTATATCTGATTTCCCTGGAAAGGAAAACAGTGATATTTCCTTTGCAGAAGTTTATTACTAGGTTCCAAACTTGTTTGGCTTAAATCAGATTAAAGACTATTTTGTGATTTGAGTGACGCAATTTCTGAAGACAATATCAAACCTTAGATGTGTAAAGTTCATGGAGGATGGTCACACATCTCCAGTTTTAATTAACCTCCTTCTAGTTGGAGATTCTGTTCATTCTTATAGAAAGAGATATCCTTTTATTAGGTCTAGTATCTCATCAAAAATAAATGAGTTTCATGACAAACATGACCTATTAATTGAACTTGATACAGCAGCCACAGTGTGAAACTCTTTGCCTTTTCTCACTGTGGAAGGGATGAATTCCATGAGAACCTGAATCCTTAAGAGTCTGATGTTTGTTTTAGCCTTGGTTTAAGTCTAATACTTTGAATATTTTGAGTTTGACAGTTTCTTTGCATAAATGCCATAGATTGAAGATGGACACTGCTTTGGGTATTGTTTTCTTTCTGGGTAGTTAGGTGTTTCTTGGCAGGTGTTAGTAGTGCTATACGCTTACTAGAACTCTTAACTTCTGCATTCTTTTTTTTACTTTGGCCTCAGAGCTTTTTTGTTGTTTCCCGTGTAAATGATAGGCTCTTATTTGTCCTCATCTGCATGATTCAGAGGTTGGTGCTTTTTGGCTTCAATTTCTGTTTTGGAGGGGGAAGTTTTGAGGGTATTTTCCCCCTCTTCTCCCTATCCATCTATTCCTGCCCACTGTGCGAGTTGCAAAGTGCTGTTTTCATTTCCTAGGTTTGGGTGGGATTCAGCTCAGTTGTACATCTGAAGTGACTCTGTCGCAGCTCACACAGACTGTACTCTGCAGTGGTGCAGTATTTGAAAAAGAAATTGAAAATGCCACTGTTTGATGCCTTTATAAAGCACATGTTGATGCTTTAAAGTTGTTTTTTTTTTTTTTTTAATTGATGGTTATGTCTGAATAAGTTAAACTTAAATTCTATTTGCTGCAGTATATGAGGTCATGTGGAGATGATTTGTGCTAATACATATGAAAAAAGCCTAAAATTAACAGCAGGTGTTAAAACCTTATCCAACTACACAGAAAGTTTTCTCTTGTTCAGTCAAGTTAAATGTCATTTACATTTTTTTTAGCTTTGCTTGTCAAGAGCTTATGGGATCCTTAATTCTGGATACCTCAGCTAAATTATTTGTTGACTGATGAGCAAATAATGGAGGACCTAAGGACGCTGAATAAGGTAACGCTCCTCCCAAGGAGGCCAGACCTACCTGTCTTCAGTACGTGGGGCTACTTCGTCCCAAAAGGCTTTCTGCAGTAACACAGTAAAAGATTCAGCCAGATGCTGCCTCCGCCCTTTTATTTTAATAAGCCTAATTAAAATAACTGTCATCTAAAAATGTGCCTTTTTGTCTGAAGCAAGTGATGAGTTATCTGAAGGAGTTCTGCTCTTCCTCTGTGTGCTGAGCAGATGTTAGCCCATTTTTCTGTGAGATCACAGGGCTGCCTCTGCTTCAGACCTTTGTGGGTTGTTCTTCATTTGTTCTTCACTTTTCTGCTATTGCAGATACTTCAGCAAGGCTCAGTGGGTGTTTAGTTTTTCTAGATTTGATTATCCTACTGCTTTATTGCTACAGACTTGAAGACATACAAGTTTCCTTATAACAGAGGGTACTCATTAGGGGTTTTGGAGATGGTAGTTTGCTTTCAGTGCCATCTGTTGAGGTCTGTCTAATGGCTTGTCTCCTCTGCAGTAGAGTTTCTGAGAGATGTCAGATTGTGCTCAAATAATGAGACATGCTACATGGATTTGGTTTTGACTTGTTCTTGATGAATTGTCTGAGTGCTCTGAGGTTCTGTTTCTAGACCTTTAGCATCGTGATACTGGTCATACACTGCATCTTTGGCTCTTTACAGCATACTGTTCTGGTTATGCTATGCCAATTTAACAATATGTTTTAAAACTACATAAAGTAAAACTATCCAGAATGACTACTACATGCTTTTATGGTATAAAATTCGTGTCAGACTTCTAATGCCTTTTCTCTTCTTTTCTCATATAGCTTAAGTCGCCCAAGAGACCAGGTGAGTTAATAGTAAAGTAAAATTTATTTGCGATTGGGTTGTTCGGAACAGACTATTGCAACCTTTTTTTGTCTATGAATGCTGACATACTTTCCTTGTGTAGCTGCTGTGGCAAGTGGGTGCTGTGTTAAAGTCCCTTCCACAGCCCTGAAGTTTGGAGGTGGTGAGGGAGCCACGTGCATCTCACTGGGGACCTGACACATTTGGTTCAGTGTGGCACCAAGTTCTCTGGGCAAAGATTTTTTTGTTTGTCCCCTACCAATAAATGCTTTTTCAGATCAATGTTATATTCCATGTGTAATTAGCTTTTTCATGTACAAAAGCAGAGGTTGAATTATTCACCCAAATACAGAACACTTTGGAAATCTGAGTTTCTAGCTATCTATGCTGTCCTTTTACTGCTTACTATGACCTTCCTGGTTGGGATTCTGCAGTCAGGTGTAGTGGTGGGCACATACTAGTCTTTAAACTTTGCTTCTCTCCTGTTTGTAGCCTCTCCCTCCTCTCCTGAGCACCTCCCAGCAACACCAGCAGAGTCGCCAGCACAGCGCTTTGAAGCCCGGATAGAAGATGGGAAACTCTATTATGATAAAAGATGGTAAGTCCTGGAAAATTGGTGTTATGTTCTGAGCCCTGAGTTGTGAAGGGCAAAAAAGTCTGTGGACAAAAGTTGCTTTCAAGAAAAAATTTGGGAACAAAATGTTTCAGGACAGGGGTTAGGAGTTTCCTCCAACGGTTAATTGTTGGTACTTCTGTAAATTAAAAGTGATAATGGATCTGCTAGACTTCATAAACTTTCAGCAGAAACCATTGACTTGAATAACAGGATGCTTTGGTCTCTTCTGCAGAGGTGGTTGCATCTTATGATACTGGGAACGCATTTTTTTCAAACCGAGTTGTAAAAAAGCCACCAACAAATGTGGCCTGATGTATTTGTACATCCAGGCACTGCGAGTGTGAGTGGAGCTGCAACAGCCACCAGCAGGAGCTGAAGTCCTTCTGTTCTGCTCCCTATACACTAGAACCTTGTTCCACAAGGTGGCAGAAGAAATGTGCTCCAGATGAGCGGAATGAAAAATATTTCTAATAACAAAAAACAAGTAACCTTTATCAAGCCCACAAATAAGAAACAACTTCAGGGTTGCTGTTTGGATTTATCTTTTATGGCTCTATAGCTGTGAACACAAGGAAAACAATTTTTCACAGAAATCTTAGGCTTAAACTTTATCTGCGAGCCGTGCAAACTGGATAGTCAAGGGGGCAATCTTGTACCTGAAGAGAAAGCAATTTGCAAGACTTCTGTGTTCTGAGGGCTTGAAATAACGAGATAGGGTTGCAGTTTTCTTACTGATGATGGGACATGCAAAAGGTCTTGTCTACACAGTAACTGTCTTGCAAAGTTAGTAATTTTTGATCCCATTGCCTTGTCTTGTAGCACTGAATTTTCATGAAGGGTTGAACTCTGATTAAAACCTGCTGCCTGGAGCCGAAATATGTAGAGCAGAAAGTAAGCATGAACAGGCTATTGGGTTGCCGCACAAATTCATGAAGCTATTTTTGCTTCAGATGTTTAATGCAAAACTGCTATCCTCTCCTCTAGGATATCTTTGAATGAATAAACCATTTTCCGGAATTCTTAAGCACACAGATAACTAAAGTTATGTAATGTTCAAAAGAGAATTCAAGAAGATTCTGGAGTCCTTGGGCAGTAAACTTCTCACAAAGTTTAAATTTGAGAGAGCCTGAGGTGTGTCCAGACTAATCTCTCCAAGATCCAAGCACTCTCCCAAAGGTGTGTGGTTGTGGAAGAAAAACATGTTTTAACAAATGTTTTCATCATCTTGAATTCAGTCATTGTGGGGCATTTCTGTCCCATGAATGTTGCTTGTTGCCCTTGCTCTCATGCTTGTTCTTATGCTGTTTAAGTATTTTACTTTTTTTTTTTTTTCTGCAATAATCCTGCTTAGAATTTGATTGATAGTAATGGTACTTCTGAAAAGTATCTGATATTTTAAAATAACAAAGTAACTCTTGATAGTGGGAGGATAATTCTTTTTCTAACGTATATTAAAGCTGCAAGCCCCAGAAATGATGAAACCAGCAGCTCAGGGGCAACTGCGTTTTCTGTTTCCTGGCAGGAGCCACGAAGGGCCGTTATCTCAAAGCAGTGAATGATAAAAGCTAGTAAAGGACTCCCTAAAGCCTCATAGAGGCATCTTGCAAGTGTATCTTCAAAATGCAGACTTTGTAGAGGGAATTTCAGATGACTGTGGAGCTAGACTTCTTTTTTTCTGTCCTCAGAAAAGAAAGTCTCCCCCTTTTGCACCCTTAGAAACGCAGCATACTGTTAAATTACTTTTATTTTTCTTTTGCTTTTAGCTTTGTCTGTATGCAATAAGAGGGTTTTTTTTGTTTGTTTTGTTTTTTAATCTTTTGATCTGCTGACTCCAAAACACTTCACTGAAAAGGTGCAACCCCCTGTGGTGGATTTTAGGAGAGAAGAGCCTTCTGTCAGTGCCTTGGTTCCTTTGATTCCTTAAAGGTAGCCCACAGCTGAATGGGGAAGTTAAAAGAGATTCTTAGCTACAGTATTGATAATTTAGCTTTGTCTTTTGTACCAGTTCTCAGTTGTATCCTTTTGATTAACTCTTTCCTTGGAGATGTGGTTGAAAAATCTTAGCCTTTTGGCAATTTTTTTTTTAACATAAAATAGAATTACTTCTGCTCAACACAAAACACTTGTCTGATTGCAGCTTACTTGCCCTGCTGCAAAAGCAAGAGTTGTTTGGTGCTTTCCTCCTCCCCTTGAAAACCAGCTTAAATCCCTTTCAGCTTCAGTCTAAACTGTTTTGCCCTGTTAAGTTCTACCCCTTTGCTGTTCCCCTGGGGGTATATAACTATCAGGGAGTGAAAGACTGCAATGTGAGCCTGTTCCTGTGCTTTCAGCTGACTTGTGTCTGCACAGAGAGGCAGTTTGAGGTAGTTCCTCAATGAAAAAGCACTGACCTAACCCTCTACTTTCCCTTCCCATGCAAACTTGGCAGGGGTTAGCTGGTGGGCAGTCACTTGGGAGGTGAAATCTAGGGCCTGAAGCCACCTCTGCGTTTATGTCATTCGTTTTGGAGTTCACTGATACTGAAATTATTTTTTCACTCAAAGCTGTTTCTTTCTATTTTGCCCTCTGTGCCCGCATTGATCTTATTCGGGAGCTGACATTTGCAGGGTTGTCCTCTGCACTCTGAAGCTTTTGTGCTGCTTGTAGCAAGATGATCAATTCTCCCCGCTCATTCACTCGCTGCTGTCGTGGCTAGGCTGGGATTTGTGCCCCTCCACACGGTGAGCGCTGCCTTGTAGCATCTTGCGCCGTGTCCTTTATACCACTTAATGACCATCTGGGCTCTAGCTGAGGCTTCTGCTCAGATCATTGTTGCTTTTGCATTGCCCTGGAAGCTGCTGATAACCTGCTAAAATGGGGCAGAGAATAATGATTGGACACCAATGTCTACAGCTGGCAGGACCTGAGGGTTTTTATTAGCTTTCGGTGATTAGTACGATTGGAAGGCTGAATGCAGATGCTATCACTTTTGTTGCTGGTAAATCATTTGAAAATTTTCAGTACAGGAGTTGGTCAAAAGAATTTATGGAGTAAAGTGTTAGAAGCCTCCTGTATTTATGGTATGGTTAATGTAGGAGTAACAGTGCAGCTCGTGCAAATCCATGTCCCGACAAAGAGCTGCGGGCCTGTGGGGAGGTGCATTTCAAGTTCCTGAGGAAATCTGGACACTGATTCTGCAGCCTGGATTTCCCAGGTAAATACAAAGCTTGTCGTGAGTGAAGTAAAGGTGGAAATGCAGTTACTCTTTCTCGTAGTAAAGCATTAACCTCAGTATACAACCTCTCAGTATCTGTGCTGTGCTTTGTCACGCTTTATCAGCGGGAATATGGACTTGCCCTTCTAAAAATCCATCCTTTGTCCAACGTGTAGCAGGTTAGTTTGATTAACCCTTAAAATAGGGTCATATTGTAGTGCTCTGCCCTGTGTTTTTTTGACAGGAAATCTGTTTGAAGCAACCAGTGTTGAGGATTGGATTCAAATTGATAGTGGGTCTTGTAGTAGCTGTATCTGAATGCAACGTGTGTGTGAGATCAGATCACAGCCATGTAAAGATGGGGAAGTGATATGGAAAGGGGCAAAGGAGAAGGCTACTACTTATTTTTTCTGTCCAAATGCTTGTAGACTCCTGACCTTATAAATCTTAGTGCTGTTGGATTTCTCAATCTTTGGGTAGCTTAATGGTTTAATTTGTTGTTCCCCATTTTTTCTCTTTATTTTTGCAGGTACCACAAGAGCCAGGCTATTTATCTGGAGTCTAAAGAAAACACTAAGATCAGCTGTGTGATCAGTTCTGTGGGCGCCAATGAGGTTAGTGGTTTGCTTTGTGTTTCATGGGAGTGTGAAAATCCATGGTCAGTACAGCCAGACAAGACTGCTGTCTGGTAAGGGCTGAGAGGAGAAAATCATTACTACACAAACTCCTTGTGGAGCAACTTAGTCCTTTCAGAAAAGGTGTCTGAAGAAGCTGAATCAAAGATGAAACTGAATTTTCTTTATACAGGGGTCAATTGCAATGGTCAGGATTTGTTGTTGAGGTTAATTTAAGTGGTTTTGATCAGTCTTTGGGTAAGAACCTCAATCACAAAAAAAAAGTTATGTTTTTTTTCTTCAGAGACTTGAGAAGGTGAGAGGCTTGCTGTGTTTCTCAGCAGAGTGATCTACTACTTTTACAAGTCATAGTTTGGCAAGCAGGAAAATGAGGGGAGCTGGCATGTTGCATCTTTTGGGCACTGCGTTTATATGTTTCATTTCTATTATTTCAAGAATATAGATGCTATTAATGCAAGATAAAAATAATCTTGCTGGGAAACCAGAAGAGGATGAGGAGAAAAATTGTCACCAAACTTAGGTTAGGTCTCCTTACGATAGCTAAATATGTATATTGTGAAATAAGCTTGAGGAATGTGCATCTAGGCTTGGTGTGAATCTTGCTGCAACATACTCCCAGTTGGAGAGGTGCATCAGCTGGGCCGGGGGAGGCAGGTTTTTCTTTGCAGGCTCCAAACAGTTTAAGGAAACAAACAAGACTCAACTTTACCTCTCTTCAATTAACCAACAAAGTAACTTTAATTTTAGCAGTAAAGGGAAAATACTTTATTATCAGCAAAATCAGTTGCATGAGGGACTTGCTTTGTATGACAAATATTCTCCTTGCTGTTGAAATTGTTAAGTTTGGTAGCTGGTTGTTTAGATAAATTAATAGCAACGTGCTAACAGGTGGGTTACAGAAATAATACTGCTAATTTGATTGAAATTATTGCTGTTTAAATCTCTTAATCTTTTGGGAACAGCTTGCCTGAAACCTGAGACACTGCAATCTGTTAAATATTTTTGCATGAATTTCATTTTCAAGTGAGACAGTTTTTGGTTTGGTTTTTCTCTGTTTGAGTTTTTGGGGTTTTTCCTGTAGTGGTGGTGGTGTTTTTTTGGTTGGAAGTTTGGGAAGGAGGTGCAGCACATGTTTTCCCTGTGGTGCTCCATGGCAAATATAGAAAGGCAGGGGAGAGAAACACTTCGGAGAGTGAAATGAGGAGGTGTTCTTGGGTACAAGCTGTACTCCAGAATACGTTCAAAAGCACAGTTGTCAAGCTGTGATCTTTCTGGGTCCCACTTCAATTCAGAATCTAGAAGGCAGACTTAGATTGGAGACTTCAGATTGCAGACTGGAGTCCAAATTTAATAGCATCTCTAAAAGAAGCCAAGTCATTCCAGGAAACTTTACTGAAAATCTTTGCACAAAGTGTCTCCCTTCCAGTATTTCCATTAATGCTCAAAGTGAAAAAGACATTAAAGGAACCTAAGGAATGTTAAAGATAATATGACATATGATTGTCTCCTTGTGGCTGGGGAAAGGATGCATCTACAGTGCACCAGAGGCATCTTTCTTTGTGTGAAGGTCTAAATGAGTTTACCTAAACTAGATTTGAAGTGTATAATTGACTGCTGGCCTTTTTCACATAGACTCTGAGCTGAGAAGATCCTAGTTAATCACCAAAAATCAATTCAAACCAAGTCCTTGTTCTTGAAGTGAATTTGGTTGTTTCTGATCACTGTATTCACTTTCTTAGAACTGGTAGTTGTTATTAAAATACATACATGTATACAAATACATTCTTTTAAATTCCTCAACTGTGTAGCACATTTTAAGGTTAATGCATAATTTTAATTTTATGGTCATTAAAAACTTAATTAAAACTTTCCTCCAAATTGTCCAAGAAAGTTAACTTTAATAGAAGCTGTTTACCATTTTGTCCTATTCTGACAATGTAAAAAACAAAAATGTTTATTTAGAGTTTTTACATTTACAAGTTCTTCTGACTACCAAAACAGACCAAGTGTTTTAGAAAATGTTCTTGTAGAGAGATGGCTATTGAGAAAGATAGATTTTAATTTCTCTAGGGAAATAACCAAAGAAATATATAGGCAAAGATTACTTTTATATCAAGGGTTTCTGCTACTAAAATCAATTTATAGTTGGAGTAGTAGAGTTCAATCAGTCTAACTTGCAAGACCTGTAGCTAATGAAATAGCTAAAGGAATTTTGGATAATTCACATTCCAATACTGATTTTATAATCCTTTGTAGTACAAAATATTGGACTAAAATACTCCAGTTCTAACAACTGGAAAAGTCTTAATTTTTATGTATTTAAATGTTTTAAGTGTATTACGCTGATTAAATGCAGAGGAGTTGTACTCAGATTTGATTTTTGAAGTGCAGCTATTTGAGGTCCAAAGTTCTTGAAAGTAATCATTATTTTGAAAAATTCTCTGAGTGGCTGCCTCCGTGGAAGCAATTTTGTCCTTTGAAACGTATTGCATATCTGCAAATGGCATGATTTTTTTTTTAAAAAAGGAGGCCCTTTTATCTTTAAATACAATTTATTTAATACCTTGAGAGAAATGCTTCACTGAACAAAATCAGAGCACACTTTTCATTTGACTAATAGTTACTTGTCTGAGCAAATCCCAGGATAGGTAATTTTTTGATCTGTGGGGCTAGAGAGACTTGATTTTGATTAAGTCCAAGCCTAATATTAGAGTTCTGTTGCAAACTATAGCAAGAAGGAAACTCTGCTTTCCTGATGATGCTCAGAAAGCTTAATTTTTCTTCAGGACTTATTTGAGGAAGAAGTTGGGGTGGTAAAGGTAGAACCATGTTGTTTTCTACTCAAGTCGCAAATGCCTGAAGTGAAACGATGGCCATGGGTTAACCCAAGTCATTTGTGCGTCCTGAGAGCTGTGAAGTCAGGCAGTGAGGATACTCGGAGTTAGTTGTCACTGCATTATTTATGGTGGGTCTCCCCTTTCCTTCTCCAACGTGTAACTCCCTCTCTGCTTTTATTTTTGTGCAGATCTGGGTGAGGAAAACCAGCGACAGCACCAAGATGAGGATCTACCTGGGACAGCTGCAGCGAGGGGTTTTCGTGATTCGCCGGCGATCAGCTGCATGACTGTCTGCTCCCCCTTGGCCTTTTGTTTTTTTTAACAGGTAGAAAAACCTCCAAAGGGGAATGACACTTGGTTCTATCTGGTCCTAGCAACAGAGAACAATGTCATGACCTCCTGCAAGACAGTTTGTGGCTGGCCACATCACCCCAGTAGCCCTTAAACCTTTAGTGATACCCACGCATTGCCCTGGACTGTTTTTGGACTTTGCATCAGGCTCCTGTATGCTTTCTTTATATTTCAGGAGACTATTTAAGAAGATTTTGCATCAGACTTTTATTCATCATTTCATGATGCACAGATGGGACCTGTATGTTGAAAACAGCGTAGCGTTTGTTTTGGTTAAGACCAATGGGAAAAAAAACCCTTTGCTTTTCAAGACCTGAGGTTTGTGTTCTTTTTGTTTTTGTTTTCTTGCAAAGCTCAGGATATTGGGCAAAAAAAAAAAAAAAAAACGAATCCTGCCAGCTTTCAGCAGCAGCTGAGATGCATCTGTAACATCTGGTATACAACACCAGCTTTATTGGATGAACTGTTCAAAGACTTGAGCACTGAAGCTTTTTTAGGAAAAAATATGAACAGTTTAGGAACTGCTGAAAATCCAGCTGATTTTATTGTTGTTAAACAGTCACACTTGGTTAATCCAAAGTTTTATTTTCTCTTCATATTAAAAAAACCTTCAATGACCAAGCAAAGAGTATGTCTATACCACTGCAATAGACTTCCTGAAATAGGCAGGTAGGTGTAAACCAAAGGATTAATTAATTGGACTTTGCACCAGGGGGCAAGACTGTATGAATGAGATATATATATACACATATATATCTAGTGTGTGTGTGTATACCACCTGTATGTAGAGTGATGAAAGGTAAATTTCAGTTTCTTTACTGATATCTTGAGTAATGTGTCGTGCTGGAATGACATTGGCATAAGATACTGGATCTATTGTGTCTTATAAAGAAGCTTGATACAGAGTGGAAAGCTGCATTGACAAGCTCTTAGTGTGTATCAGAAAGCTTAGTTTCCTAAAATGTCATATAAAGCTTCTCTTTGAAGGGTATTTTAATTACAGGAGATAATGCTGGGTTTCTACTCTTTCACTCCAGTAGAAGAGGAGTTAAAATGTTCAAGGGGTGGTAGTGATGTTCTCCTTTTCAAGATGTTTAAAGATCTCTGGACTCTGGCACTGCTTTATTCCCAGTGTTTTGCAGAAACCAGCAATACAATCTGTGACTGCTCTGATGTGAACAACACAGCACTGGCAGCACTGTTAGATTTTTGCTTTCTGTGCAAATGGACTTTGTGATCCTTTTGATTACTGGACAAAAAGTTGTAATTTCTGCCTTTATCAATATCCGTCACCTTGCGAGGCATCCTTTGTTTTTGCTTTTGAACTGCCTTCCTTTTCAGCATCAGTCTAGCCTTTCATATCTGTATAAAGGGAATATTTTAAATGACTGTTTCCATTTCTTTTGCTTACTGCAGTTGGGTGGCAGTCAAATTCAAATAACTCATGTGCATACGTGGGTCTGGAGTGGAGTGTCATGGCTGAGCTGCTCTCTGTGCCTGAGACCTCTTACATTTTTATTGTGTTTAGAGATGCAACCAAATCTGGAGCTTTGGGGCAAGGAGGGTGCCTTTTTCCAGCTCTTGAAGATATGGCATCTTTGCTTCCAAGTTAGTCAGGTGGAAAGCAGCAGGCTGTATCTTGTCAAGGTAACAGCACACTTAATATAACTTAGTCTTCTCTGCATCTGTGACAGGTTTTTATAAGGTGATGATGTGCCAAACAGGATTTGTCACTGAACGTTAAACACTGTAGTTCTTAAAATAAAAATGTTAAGTAAATAGCAGGATTTACTTCCTATCCATATCATTTTATCAATATATGTATTTAGGGAGATAGTGGGAGTTTGGTTCAGATTGGGGGAGATTTTACCAACTCATTTTAGCAGGTGGTTTTTCTACTTCTGTAACATCATCTGTTTTGTGGTAGCTATAAAAGTACTGAGAAACGTAGAAATGTGCCAGCTCTTAGGGCCAAGCACAGTATGGGAGTGTGCAATACAAATTTAATTAGACATTTTCAGCACTGCATCTCAATGCAGACCCCTAACGTCCTCCCCATCCTCCCTTCCCCTGGGCAAAAGAGGGAGGAAACAGCTGTTGTCATCCCCAGAAGAACATCTTCCATCAACCTGGTTGTGGGGCAGGGCATGGACGGATGTTCCTAGTGCTCCCACTGTGTTGCCACACTGACCTTGGATGCCAGGGAGGAGGTAACGAGGGTTGTAGGGGCTCCCTTTTGTCAAGAGTTTCTTGTCCATTGCCTGATTTCCCACTGAGTTATCCTATAGGATCTCTCTAATATACCCATAGCTGCATTTGAATCTTAATTTCTGCTCTTGGCACTCCAGAGTGTGGCCTTGTAGCCCTTTTTTATCCAGTTACCTTCTATCCTGAAGGTACCTCTTTAAGCCTACTCCATCCTTTGCTTAAAAGTTTAATAAAACTAAAGTCTTGCCTCAATTGATGATTGTTAAGGTAAACCTGTCTCTTTCAACAGAATTATGTGAATATTGTATCCTGTTTTCAAGCAGGCTGTTGTGTGATGGTCTGTAACATTTTCAAGGCTGGAGGTGATAAAAATGCAGTGCCTTATTGTGTGCTCAGGGAAGCAGTGCATTTTTTAATTCCGGAAGGATGCTAAAAGTGTTTTGTGGCAAGGATGAAGCTAGGGTGTATAGACATCAGCCCTAGAAATGCAGTCTTCCTGCTGCTGGTTGGAAGAATGAAGACAAGTTACTCAAGGAGGTGAGCAAGGTCTTGCTTAGCACCTCAGAAAATTGGCTTTCCTGTCTGCTGTGTGCCTGTCTAACATCAGTCTTCAGTGAAACCTTCAGTGAACAGAAATGACTTTGCTACAGGTATGAAAATAATTAATACTGTGAATGGTGTTTAAAGTTTTGTGTGTGGTGTTTTTTTTTTTTTCCAAAATAGTTTGGCTCCTGTTATAGTAAATATAAGTAAGAAGGCTTCTGCCAAAAAATAGACTTTTATTGGGGATTAAATTGCTATAGTTCACTGTTTTGTATTAAACACTTGTTTTTTTTTTTTCCACTGCTCTTTGAAATAGAATGTGTATCGGCTGGGGGAGCTAAACATTAAAAAACTTTATTTCACACTGAATCTGCCCTTAGATATTCAAGTACACAGGAGGCCAGATCCAGTAAACCAACTTCCAGTGTTTTCTTGAAAGGTTTCAATAAGTCATATGTCAAGAAGAGGCTGTTTACTAGGTTGAATGCTAATAAGAGGAATTAACTTTTTAACTTGTGCGCTTTGGCAATTCTGGAAAGGGACAGAGTGATTTAGCAGCATAAATCTTGACATATTTTCATTACTTTTCTTAAATTGCTGGGGCACTTTCTAAGATGAAACCAAAGAGCAATGAGTTGTGGCTGTGGGAGAACCTCTTCCTCTGAGAAAAAGAAAGATGGAAATGTTGGATTCTCCTTGTGACATGGAAGTAAACACCAAATGTTAAATGATTAAGAAACTCTAAATGGAATATTAAGGTTTGCTGTTACCAATTTTAGCTTGTCTAATTTTAAAATTTAGAATGTAAACGAGGTACCGAACAGCAATAAGGAAAGTTACTTAAGCCTTCACGTCTCTAATGGCAACACAGTGAAACTAATCATTTTAAAGGCTTTAGAACTAGTAAATCTGGCAACAGTTACTGACTTATTTAATCAGTTTTTAAATTTGCAACCTATCGGTTGTCTAGCATGCCTAAGGTAGCTTTGACATTTTAAAATTAATATTAATTTGCATCTACATATTTCTTCCCAAATCTTGAGAGGGAAAAGTATCTGGCTAGAAAGTGGTGAAAAACTCAATTTTTATTTCACTTTATTAGTGTTCATCACTGAGCTGGAATTCTTTTTGACGGTGATGATTGCCTGCAAATCTCTGCTATTAAGCGGTTACACCAGTTAATGAAACTAACAGTCTTTAATGAAAATAAATACAAATGCAAATCAAGGTTAAAATTAGTGTCTTAAATCAAGGTTTTCTGCATGATGATTAAAATTGTGTTTGGAGTTGGTGATTTAAATATGTGAACAGATTTATTGCGCTGACTGAATAAGGGTTTGGAGAGCAGTTGGATCGGGAGACGTGGTGGTAGCTCCATTTCTACTTGCAGCATAAAATGAGAAGGTAGGTGGATTTTTTTGTTCTGGCCCTCTCTTCTTCCCCCAAACATAGCAGATGCCTGAAACAATTAATTGATTTCCGTTGAAACAAGTAGTTTAAGATGTGTTGATCCGGTAAGGTTGCTCTTGATGAATGCCAGTAGTGAAGAATATAATACTGTACGTGAATTTGATGTTAAGAACAAGGCATAATGCTCATACAAATGTATTCTTATTTCTGATGTGATTGGGAACCATCATTCCAGACCTTGTACATCATGAGGCATCAAATAATGGGGAAGGCTCTGAATATTAATGATACTAAATCACGTGATAGTTGCACAAAATCAGCAGAGATACAGGAGACCATCTGATTGAGAGAATTTCTGTGGTGGTACCATCTGTTCCCTTGAAATGGGAAGTCCCACACTTTAAGAACTGCCTAAATAATATAAGATGTAGCAGAAAGTTTTTTCACCCACAATTTTAATAGTACTTTTGCATTAAAGTATTGATTAGGGCTAATTTTGCATCAAGAGTGAAGTTGGCAGAAGTGACAGGAGTGGTTATAAGCCTGGACTCAGTCTGTTAGACTGATTCCTGAGAACTTCAAAACTGCTGATTCGCTGCTGCTTTCATTGAAATGACTGGGAAGAACTTTGAAAGCCTGAGAGAAATACAGATGGAAGTGTCTGTGCCCTCGTCTCTGCCTGTATGATCCCAAGGCAGAGCGCAAATGGGTGCTGAGGATGGTCCTTCCTCCCTGCCGGAGATGGCGGGATGCGGAGCTGCAGTGCTGGTGCTCCGTTCCCTGGGCAGCTGGCATGGAATACGTGGCCAAGGGAAGTGGGGCTTGCAGGAAGCCTGAGCTGTGCTTGGAGGGAATGGATGAGCCAGTCTGAGGAAGTTTCTGGAGGATTTGACACCTCCAATCTGAAAGCTGGTTTTTCTCAAGTCTGATTTGGCTCCAAAATACTTCCAGCTCCCTAGACAGCTCTGGGCTGGCTTCTTGCAATGTCTTCTGCACCTCCGCTACCTTAGTGCTAAGGGTCTTTGGGAACATGTCAATGCACTTGCCTTGTAATGGATATAAGCAGCTTTAAGCAGTGGCTCCAGCTTTCCCTAGGGATGGTAAT